GCTTGCGTTGGTAAAGCATGCAAATATCATAACTACATAACATAAAATATCAATAATGTCAATTTCTGGACTATACATTTCATGCATGCGTATAGGTGTATGTATAGGTATATGTGTGTGTTTCGGTAAATATGGTTATTTATGTGTTTAGGTGTGTGGTGTGTGTGTATGGTGTGTGTGTGTGTGTGTGTGTGGTGTGTGTGTGTGTGTGTCCGTACGTGTGTGTACGTGTTTGTGTGTTGTGTGTGTGTGTGTGGTGTGTGTGTGTGTGTGTGTGTGTGTGTGTGTGAGAGAGAGAGAGAGAGAGAGAGAGAGGGGGGTGAGTGTGTGTGTGTGTGTGTGTGAGAGAGAGAGAGAATTTGAAATAGAGTATGAATTTCGTATTCATACTAAACATAATATACTAAAGCTATCGCGCACACAGATAAACGACAACACGTGTGGGTAGATGTACATATAGTAAATTTATTCTTCCCCGTAATCGTTATCGATATATTTAACCGAATACACTTCATGACGCCGCCTATAGCGCTATGAGGCTCATTTTTTGTGCCTCGCGTTTGACCGGCGGTCGATATAAACACGCTTCGTATTCATACTAAACATAATATACTAAAGCCATCACGCACACAGATGAACGACAACACGTGTGGGTAGATGTACATATAATAAATTTATTCTTCCCCGTAATCGTTATCGAAATATTTAATCGAATACACTTCATAACGCCGCCTATAGCGCTATGAGGTGCTATATGAGGTGCCAAAACCTACCTATTTTAATTGCGCTTAAAATCTATTTTAATCGCGATTAAAAAGCACTTTTTTGAATGGCTGGAATTTAATCGCGCTTAAAATCTATTTTAATCGCGATTAAAAACCACTGTTCTGATTGGCTGGAATTCAATCGCGCTTAAAATACATTTTAAGCGCGATTAAAATAGGTAGGTTTTGGCGGTAATGGCCTTCCATAGGAACGACCATATATAGGCCATTTACATACCATGTTGCCGTGCGTAATTGCCTTCTCGAGTGATCACGCACGCGCATTTACGAGCAAGGGTCGCGTGCGCCCCGGTAAGATGACGGACTGCCTGTGCATGCTGTAACTACAGCACGGTATACTACACTTAGTAACTGCTATTTCAATACGTTCATCCACTGTAACAATAGAAGTGGATACTGACTTTACGCTATATATAGGTCCAAGCGCTATTGGAACTGTGGAGAGAGCGGACTCAAACGGTCGTATCTATACAGCCACGATCCGTATCAGTGAATATCTCGGAAATCAATGTTGGGTTTCCAAGTTTAGGATTCACTAAGACACTGTGTCATTGGTCTGTACCAGGTTCACGAACTGGCTACCCAAAGATTGATCTGCTTTTCTTGAGTAGGTATGTTTTTCCTTTTGAAATCTAATTGCATCCACTTAATAATAGAACCAATCCAATTACGTGTAAATGTTCGCGTGCTTCAAACGCCCAAGACATTTTGACTGAATTAGGTAGATGGGTAGGTCCGGGCAAAACAATCAACCATATAGACTGTACTGAAGGGTAGAATAAACCCAATTTAGAAATATGGCAGCGAAGGTTGTGAGCCACAAATTTACAACCATACCATCTACCTCGTTTAGCTTCCGCGTAGGGTATCAAACTTATGTTTACTCTATAACATAAATCAAGGAATTATAAAAGAAATGTATGCCGCATCACCGACAAGTAAATGCTGAAGCTTAGCTAACCTCCGTTAGCAAAATATTCCGCATGAAAACGTTAATATTACTATTTTGCTGCTGTAACATCACTTTCGTCGTCGTAACTGCCGTCGTCATCGTCATCGTCATCGTGAATATCATCATCCCTGTGGCCGCAATTATCGTCGTCGCCGTCAACATTGCGACCTCGTGCGTTAGTTTTGCTGTGAAGGTTCACTGCGTTGAATTTGTTTTATGTTCTGCGTTTGTGTAATTGATCACAACAAGTAGCGATACCTGCTTCAGGCCGGGGACCCTACTCTTCCCTACTACCTCGATTGTTAATAATTGCGAAGTCAAACGTCTCTAAATAATTTCGAAGTGAGCCGGCCGAACTTTAAAAGTCTATGCGGTTTAGTCTATATATCTAAAGGGACGACAAATGCGGATAAAACAGATTTTAAATTATGATTGTCAAGTATTTATACTTCATATCGTCGCATCAATTCGTAGGCTATTTGAGAACTGTAGGACTATCTCCAGTTTCTATTTGGTCGCTGCCTAATCACGCACTGTGGGTGAGGCTCCTCTTTCCAAATGAGCAGTGCATGACAGATGTCATCACGCAAGTAATTACACAAATATAGGCACTCGCATTCACGGAAGCATGTACTCGTACATGAGGGCTCACGCTATAACACAGGGGCGGACACTAATACGCTCGCTCACACATTCAAAACTACGCAAGCACTAACACTCACTCAAGCAGTCACACCATCAGACAAGCACTAAGTACATTTATATGAGCACTAACACTCACACATGCACTAACCCGCACGCAGGCGCTAACACTCATGCAGCTATTACCACACTCGCGCATACGCACACACATATACGCAAACACACACGCACGCACGTACACGCACAGACATGCACGTGTACACACAAACCCAGAGCATGCAGTAGCCACCTGTATAATTTGTAATGTGGCCATTAGGCATGTGTAATTGCTTTTCACTGCAATCTAATCGTTTTCTAAACAATGTGAATTGTCAATAGAACTATATTTTACTGCGAGGACTTTTTAAGAGCAAACCTCTCTCATAAATCAGCAGTAACGTCTATTCATTTTAGATAAAATCATACAACAAATTTAAGCTGGGAAAATCTTGCGGTTCTGTTCTTACAGATGTTCCAGATAGTTGGCAAAGCTGCACATGAAGATTTTGTGATGTCTTGTAGCAGAAAATTCGATACATGAATTTACATTATATATTTGTGGATAGTCTACACGAGCTCTAGCTAGCACGTAAAAAAATAAATGAATGAATGAATGAAGGAATAGAAGTACGTTTACAGAGGATCCACCGGATTGGCTTAATCAATGCGCGAAGGCCCAGAAAAACAGCTACTGTGATCTTCCGAGTGATATATGGTCAATAAACCAGTATACCTCAAATTCGCTGAGGTCATTGCAAGTGTGATCGAACACTCGTACTCGTACCCAAATGCAAATGCAAATTCTTAACGAATCATCAAATATCGAGCCATATACTGCATCATGCAACAACATCAAAGCGTCGCAGTCGTTGCATGTCGATATTTGAATGAGAGTTGCCGTGTGCTTTGATTCGTGCTCCCACCGTCGGCACATCGCGACAATCAGTAGTCAAAATTAAATAATATCGCGATCCCCTTCACCGATGATAACCATCCCGCTGTCGTTATGATCGCATCTACGAAGACGGATTCGAGTTCAGGGCAGATGCCAACAAAGATAGTTGAGATGGTGCATAGGCCTGAGGACTGACGGTCTGTTGGAAAACATGATTAGAGGAGAACTCGTCTGAGCAAGGCCGTTATCTGTGGGGTGGATCGCAGAGTAGCAATATAGCATAGCTACCAAGCGTGCGGTCGCTACCTAAGCTCCCGCTGTGCGCTGCGAGACTGGCGGGAGTACAGCATTCTCGCGAGATCCCGCGGTGACGGTGTCTTGTATTCCTCAGAATTAATAAATTCCTCCATATGAGCCTGGTGATTATTTCTAGTATCAGCTAGTTTGTTTGCGTTGAGCATGTGAGACTCGCTCGTGACGTAGGTAGCCATAAGACGTAGTGGGTGTGTAAATGCCAGTCACGCCTATTGCGCGAGAGCTGAACCGGCGTGACGCATCGTGGCAGGTCAAACCCCACCGGGTATCTCCACGAGGGGAAATCTCAGCCGACCGCTGTCCATCTTACATTGTGTATGTGCGCGCGTGCGTGCGCATGTACGTACGTGCGTGCGCGTACGTGTGAGTCAGTGTGTCTGTGGGCGCGCGCGCGTGTGTGACGTGGGTGTGCGTGCATGGGCGCACGCAAGAAAGTGCGTTGGCACGTGCCTGTACGTTCATATATGTGTAGCGAACACTTGATTATTCGCGGATGTCTCACACACCTGATACGTCGTACTGACAACTGTCTCGCATCACTGCCCGCAATGATGGATTCTCTCTAGTTGTGCGACATTGAGAGTTGCGGATAGCTCGGCACTACCCTCGCCCCGTTTAACAGATGAAGCTAAAACAGTTATTTGTTATTCCGATATCACTCTAAACTTACGATTACTCAGCAATCGCCCATTTTCGCTCAGAATGATGAAGGGAACTAAATCAATGATAAATGTTCCACGACTTGCAATAGTATCAAGGCTAGATCTTTTTGTGTGAATGCATGACTTCCTTCTCAGCATGAGCTAGTTATCGATGTCATTATGGTATACGTGTTACCGCCAACGCCATCTATTGCTAGGGGATTGATACAAAAAATATTTACGTTACGCCCAGGTATATGTGAACACTATCACGAATGTTCACAGACAATAAACCACTAATTTCGTTTATGCGCATACGTCACTTAAAAAATTACCCGTTGTTTTTTAGTAAAACTAATTGATAGCTAGAGGTTAAAGCCATTAAAATCCAGCATACTCTTTGTTTCCAGCAAGTTCTCTGTTAGTGTATTATTACAATTATCAATATTTCGGACATAATGAACGTCAAACTAGCAATATTTGATAATTGAATGAAATTTATATACTTTCTAAACATGGTGCCTCAAATGTTGTTAAACCACGCTTGTAATAGCATTGTGTTTTGGTACTTGACGCGAACTATAAAGTGTCGGATTTGAGAGGTTCAACTGTAACTAAATTAAAGAGAGTGGCTTCATATCCTGCGTTCAATATGCTCAGAAGGAAAATACGATAAATTTCCGATGATTCGATAAGCGCATATGTGCATTTTATTATGTGCAATTCGTTAATTTTCCGCTGCGACGTTTCACGCCCATAGTTATCGCGGAGAGTGCCTCTCGTAATCATAATAAACCTAACAGATAGTTTCCTTTTTGCCGTTTATAGGCACCATCGAAGACTACAGCGGACGAGAGGACACAGGCGGCAACATAGCGACGACCTCCTCCATCCCTTCCAGCCCGGCCACGCCGGCAGAGGTCGTAAGCATGGACAGCACGACCCACGCAGCTAACGCGACGAATGTCAGCGCTATCGAGCACGTGCCCTATCACATGCGGCCCGAGACGTACATAGTCCCCGTCGTGTTTGGCTTTATCTTCCTGCTGGGCATTATCGGCAACGGCACGCTCATCTTTATCGTGCTAAAGAACAAATGTATGCGCAACGTCCCCAACATCTACATCGTCAGTCTATCTCTCGGAGACTTCCTGCTCATCCTGATATCGGTGCCATTCACGAGCACCATATACACGGTGCGTAACTGGCCGTTTGGCGAGGTCGTCTGCAAGCTGAATGAATTCCTGCAGGACATGTCCGTCGGCGTGTCCGTATTCACGCTGACGGCGCTCAGCGCCGACCGCTACACGGCCATCGTCGATCCTATGAAGAAGCACATGGGAAACCCGACCCGACGTACCGTGATGACGTCATTTGCCATCTGGATCGTGGCGATCTGTCTCGGCGTGCCGGACGCCGCGATCTCGTACGTTCTCTTCACGGGCCTGCATCCAGACGACGCAAACGGCGTCAACGTCTGCTACCCGTACCCGCTCGACTGGCAGACGTGGTACCCGAAGCTGCACACGTTCTGGAAGTTTCTCATCTATTTCCTCATCCCAATGGTGATCATCTCCACCTACTACAGTCTGATGGCGAAGAATCTGATGCTGAGCACGCAGAACATGCCCGGGGAGAAGGCGGAGAAGGGCTCGGGAGCCCAGCACGCAGCGAAACAGATGGAAGCGCGCAAGAAGGTCGCCAAGATGGTTCTTATGTTCGTGGTCTTATTCGTTATCTGCTGGGCCCCGCGCCATCTCTTCAACATGTGGTTCCACTTCAGTCCCTGGTCTCGCGAGCAGTTCAACAGCGGCTGGCAAGCGTTCCGCATCATCGGCTTCTGTATGTCCTTCATCAACTCGTGCCTCAATCCGGTGGCACTCTACTGCCTCAGTAAGCAGTTCCGCAAGTACTACAACCGATATCTGTTCTGCTGGTGCCGCCGATCGCCTGACCTGCAGACGACGGAACCGAACTCCGCTATGTATAACTTCACGAGCACAGTTCGACGTGGCAGCGCCAACTCATACACGATGGTGACGTCACAGACTGCCGCCGTGTAGATGGCGCCACTAGCTCCTACACGATGGTAGACCGCGGTCATGTAGACAGAGCCAATGACGATCCCAGTATATGTGTAGCTACTACTAGTCATCCTGTTACCATGAAAACGTTCCAATTTTAGGTGTCGAAAGAGAGCGAGAGTACTAGAAGCAACTGCGGCCAAGGCCGAATGACGGGGCGTTGTAAGAACGATTTTGATTATCATAACAAAGATTGTCTAATATAAAATTTACGAAAATTGTCCTGACAAGGGTTTAGAAAAAAATATTTGGATTATAGAAATAATCATCGTTTTGACAACGGCCGCCAGGTGCGCTGTGTTGCTTTTTATGTGACATTACTATACTCTGATCAGGCGCTACATTGCATACCGTGCATGTAAAAATCAATTGTGCTATCACGGCTGCTGCTATTTAGCCAGCGTTTATAATATAATATTAAAGGCTCACAATGCGCATCCAAACGCTAATTTCTCCAGTACTAGACTAGCAAATACTTCGTGTCATGCATAATCACACTACCTTATGACAAAATAAACTCTAGTTGCTCCCATTTCACTGCGCGTTTGCTTAAAACCCACAAGAAAGAGGTGAGAAAACTGGCATTTTGGCGCAAACGCCGACTGTTTTCCAAACCAAATAGTGGTGACGTGACGTCACATGTTTTTATCTTTGCTGCGCCCGTACCGCTGTACCGCAGCACCGCTGCACGGTTGCTTGGGGATTGGGGAAACTGTCAACAACATCGGAGAATTTCAACAACATTGGAGGTATTTTCAAAATACCTTTTATAAGACAACGCGCAGTGAAATGGGAGGAACTAGAGTTTATTTTGCCATAAGGTAGTATGATTATGCATGACACGAAGTATTTGCTAGTCTAGTACTGGAGAAATTAGCGTTTGGATGCGCATTGTGAGCCTTTAAGCACATAAAACAAGCTCACACAAACCGTACATTAATCCGTACCATATACGCCAAGTGTCGCCATCTCGCGCCGCATCGAATCAATATTTCCTGGTTGTCACTTCGCATCGCACGATTGCGGCTTGGTTCCAGCGCTCTGCCTTTCCCGCCGAAGGCGGTCGCAGCATTTCACTGCTTTCGCACCATCGTGTCGCCATTACAGCTATGAGATTTATAGACGACAGGCAGTTTGGAACTGGTGCTCTCTGCGCGACACGGCGTTTCATCGATTAGCGTGCTTTGAACGCACGAACGACACGATGGTTTTTCAGGCAGCTAATCCAGTGTCGGTAGAAACAATCGTGCGGGTGAAGGAGGTGGGTTGAACGATGGCTGCTCAGCGGCTGCATGGCCTCCGGCTGTGATTAGTACGCCGTCATGCCACTGACTCCTGCGCCCTTACGACTGGCAGTCGACACGTTGTCAACACTCGATCTCGTTGCTGCTGCTACATTTCATGTGGCGCGAGCATGGGCAGGTTTTTGCCAGAGTATAGTATACGTCAGTCTTACGCTGTATTTATTTGCCACTAAATCAGTGCATTATGCAGTCGTAAATGGCCAGGCGCAATGTTCAAGTCATGGGCTGCATCGCGAAACAATAATAATCGCACATACACACATAAATTACATATTACGCAACAGCTAACGATATAGGCAACCATTAAAGATTTTGGTACAATGAAAAGTATGCTTCATGCATGAAATACAGAGCATGAACAATAACTTGCAGCGAACAACCTTAACCACAATGCAAAAAGTCAAGTGTAACTGCGGGATTCTTAAACCCGGCGCACACGTGAGTAATTTTACTCAAGTAAAATGATGCATGCGTCAAAATACTCACGCGAAATATTTTCAGCGTCCGCCGCACACGTGAATAAAATTACTCAAGGTATAAGTGGTAATGTAGATCACGTGACTGTGCGCAGCCAATACTGGGTGCAGTCATCTATAAAATTATGTAAACGCATGCGCTGTGAGTACCAGTGTTGAGTAAATTTACGCAGCTAGCGTGCACACGTTGCGTATTTTGACGCATGAGTCAAAAATTATTAAACATGTTTGATATTGAGTTTCTTGATGCATGCGTCGGAAAACTCAATGTAAATCCGGCGCACACGTGAGTATTTTGATGCATGCATAATTTTCTTTGAGTAAAATTACTCACGTGTGCGCCAGGTTTAAGAATCCCGCAGTTACACTTGAGTTTTTTGCATTGGGGTTAAGGTTGCTCGCTGCAAGTTATTGTTCAAGTTATTGTGCAAGTATATATATATATATATATCCCCGACGCTATCTTTGCCGATAAAAGCACTGTCTCAATTTATCGTTAAGTGATTGAGCTGCTATTGATTCTAGAAATCAGGAATTCATATTCACCAAACATAGAAATGGCCAGTGGTGTCATTAACAAAACATGACTGGTTTAAAACCGCAGTAGAATTTGTCAAACATTTCTAATGCTTTACAGGAGATTTCAGAGACAGTCCTCGATGACAAGGACTATAGCACGCGCGCGATCAATTTTGTATGGAAAGTGTTATTCATCATCATCATCATCATCATCATCATCATCATCATCATCATCATCATTATCACCATCATCATCATCATCATCCTAGTTTTGATTATCCAGGCCTGAATTAAATCTCTACCGAGGGTGTGGCCTGAGGTTTAATGTTCCAATATTACCAGCACACTGGTCCTCTCTGTGGCTCTTCACTCAGGGTTGCCAACGCTTGTGTGACGATGTCTGTACATGTGATGGTGAGGCGGGAACCACCACCCGACTGCGCACGCGTGAACTGTTTATACTTGCGTGTGAAACGCTTGTTGACGGTATGACACGAATATAGATAACGCCACTGTAGCCTCACTCTTATAATAAATAAGCGCACCGCATATAGGAGTGATACATGAAAGTGAGTCTACATGGCGCGCTGACGAGTGAGAGTCAAACGCGTTTTGAAGTTGAACTTGCTTTGAAAACAAATCAGGAACCGAACAGTTTTTCCTGGCTTGTCTTTTCATTAGGGTATCGCAGTAATGAGGTGACCTAGTAAGGTAGGCCGCCTATAGTACTGAATAATAAACAAAACGTTAATTATAATAATTAATAAATCAAACGTCGGCATGCGAAGCAAGTATAACTTGCCGCGAACGTAATCGCTTATTGGGAGAAACTAGATAGTTGTACAGTTTGGTACATGAATAGTGTTCCTCCATACATTAGAAATAGCTATCCAAGAAATACAATTGCCACCTCGCGCACAGGCTATTTGTTGTACTTTTAATAGATGGCAACTCTGTGTTGAAGGCGCCGTTTACATTTTTGTGAATGGTATTGTCGCAAGTTACGCAGTCTTTAAGATAAAATAACGCATGTTCTGTGTTGTATGTGTGTGTGTACTCCATGTATATACATGTGCGCGCACATCGGTGCATGTGTGTGTATGCTGATAGAACCTAATCAAACACTCACCGATTACGGCGTGCTATTTTCCTAATTAATAATAAATATAACCCCGTATATAGTAATATAACAAATATAACTCAGCAAATTGTCATTGCTGGTATGGAGGAATTATCGAGTACTATAGACATTAACTATAGGTAATAATCTCTTAAACCTTCCAGCCCACAGTTCGTCAAAGAAGTTGCAATTATTTGGGACCCCCCTCACCTCGATACCCACCTTCCTTCTGCTCACATCTTAGTTCAGACAACATGAGAAGCACGTATTTCGGATACTGTGATATCACGGTGAGCTGTATTCCTATACAGACAAGCCGTGTTATTAGCAAATATTTCGAAACATTGGCATCGTCCCCCCCCCATGTCTTATTTATCGCGATGTCAGTACCGTGGTAAAGCTATGCGGAGACCAGCCTTTTATAGGTAAACGGTAGCAATTGCATCGTTTTAGCTGTTAGGCGCAGTTCAACCTCCCGTTTCGAATGTAATTTCCAGATGAAAATTGAAAGAAAATATGAAGTGCTGCTGTTGTTGTTCGAGAGAGAAGCCAGGTTTTGTATAGTAGATATGGTGGCAAATTCTTTCAAGCCATCCTCATATTCAACCGAAGCCTTGTGTGTATAGCTCGGGTGAATGTCTCGATAGCGTTAAATGTGGTTACGGACATGCGAGTACTGATGTAATGCTATTTCATAGTTGAAGACGGCAAGTACTGGTGTGTGTATGTGTGTGTGTGTGTGTGTGTGTGTGTGTGTGTGTGTGTGTGTGTGTGTGTGTGTGTGTGTGTGTGTGTGTGTGTGT